TGCTTGCCTGAGAGGCAGCCCGTATCCATTCCAGTTAATATCTCCTTCCAGACCTCCTGGCCTCATCTTTGCACACTCTACATGCTGTTACTGCCGCTGGCTTTGTTTGAGCCCATACATCTCAGCAGTGTCACGCGGTGACTTCTGGAATAATGCATGGCCAACTTTCTCTGGGAGGTGATTTTTTTGACATCCTGCTTGAAACTACTCTGCCACAGCCTCCTGATGAGGCAAGCTATTTAAAGACTAGAGAGAAAGCTTCAGCCCCCCACGCATGAGAGCCGTACAGTACTTCAGCTCCACTTGGCACATGTGGCAGAGTGGGATAAGGATGTGTGCTGTAATTTTTAATGGAATGTCTTTTAAAAAAGAAGTAACCTTAGAAGTTCTTCAACCCCATCTTCATTACAGAAAGAAAAAAAAAAGGCACTGCTTATTCATTGTAGTATCTAAGGCCCACATATTATCATGGCCAGTGGGCCATCTCATTTGTGTGCCTGGTGGTTCCTCAAGCAGTTTAGTCTGGTTTTGGGTGATTCTTAATATTCTTATTTCCTCATTCTTCTCCCTAATAGAGCTGAGCAAGTCTTGAGGCATGAGCAGAGCTATGTGCTTTTTTGTGGTTTTTTGGAATTGCTGATGAAGAGAGGATTTAGAAGTATTTCCGAGAGTTTCGTCACGCAGTTGCTATGAAGCTGGAATTGAGTGCTGCTCAGACTTTAAATTGTTTTCTAAATTAAGAGCTCCCTCTCTTCTTTTGCGGGTATGTGCACCTGTGCATTTTTGCAAGCCTGTTGTACTAAAGACAGACTAATTCCTCATGGAACTTCTAGGGCTTCTTACATTTGTGTAGATGCTTGAAATTGTATTGGCCCCAGTCCTGAAGTCCTTTTCACTTCATGATCAAAGTAGTAGTGAATCCTTCAGTGACTGTTTTCCTTTTTTACTTTTAAATTAGGATTATTATTAATATTATTAGTAATTAAATTGGTACTATTGCTGCAGGGGGGTTAGCCATTATGGAACAGCATCAGTTTTGATGGGAACACTGGCTTTAAAAAGCCAAACCAAAAATCCAGAGACCCAGCAATTCTGGATGTCCTGTGATTGTGCTTTACCTCAACCATCAAAACCTTTTGCGAGTGACATTTAGAGGTGCCTGTGTCATTCCCAAACTGAAAATGAGTCTGAATGTGGCATGAGGAAATCCTAGCTGGAGATTGTACAGATGTCAGTGTCAGACAGCAAATATGCACCAGGCTTAAATGGAGTTGTCTGTGGGGAGCACATTACAATGTTCCCAGTAAAGGCTGTAAAACTGGGAACATTGCGGGGTTATATAGCCCCATGTAATATTTGGTCTCCTACACCCACAGTCCTCAGTAGAACTGATCTCATTTCAGTGATTTCTTTGGCTTTATGGCTTTTTAACTCTTCTTGGAGCAGCAGTGTTATTTTTCCTTTTCCCTAAACTCTTCTCTTAAAACTGACAAGGACATCCCTTGCTACTGGGTGGTAATTGTGGTTTGATAGTGGTTTAGTGGTTTAACAAGCAGAAACAAAGCTGAGATATGACTTGAAGGAAAAAAACCCCACCAAACAAACAAACCAAAAAAAAAAGGGGCAAAAAATTACTCAGCATGCAGAAAAGCCCAGCTCCTTCAGGCACTGGATGAACAGCTTTGTAAATGACAGGGAGTCCTCATTCACTGCAGCTGGGATGGAGTGAAACAGGGTGTGCCCCACAGTTTTGGGGCACAGGGACAGCTTTGGGCTGCAGGCTTGAGGTGGAAATGACAGTTGCAGTCCTACCTGAGAGCAGGAGTGTTCCCTGGTGGAGTGTTCCCCCGTGCAGTCAGATGACTTTTACCAGCTTTGATGTGGTTTTGGCACTGTGCGTGTCCCTGATGGTCTGTGACTGTAATCTCTAGAGCGATCATTTCACCATGTATTTGATAATGGTGCCTTAAAAAACCCCAAGAAAAATAGAGGCCCTTGTGCTGCCAATGCAGACTTGTGCGGTACTTGTTCAGTGTCATGTGTTTGCTTTCCTTTAAAGTTTGTGCCACAAAGAAAAAAAGCAGTTTCTTCTAAGCCCCTGGACCTGTGAAGAACTGCGGCCACTGAACAGTGCTCTTGGAGGTGTTATGATAAATCCTCCTGACAATTGAACTATAAATACTCACTGTATGTAAACCTGTATCAACATCAAAGCCTCTTCAGACTCATCAGGAAAAACTTCAGGAAGGAGTCTGTGTTGTTTGGCAAGGATAAGAGAGGTCCAGACTGGCTGGTGCAGATATGCTCTGATTCTCGGGTTAATTGAATTCCATTTTTGTCATCACTTATCACCTCATAAAACTTAAGTTTCTGAAATACGTGAAGTAAACTGATTTTTATGTCTTGCTATCAATCCATTACAGAGAGAGTTTTCAAATACCTTGTCCAGGCAGGATCTTGATTTTTTATCTGTTTTGTGGGAAGGGTTTTTACTGTGTTGCTCTCATGGGATATCTCAGGAGTTCTGAAGCAATCTGCTAGTTGAGTGCTGCTTTTCTGTACAAGAAAATGCAAGTTTCTGTGTCTGCTGTTCACCACTTACTGAATTAAGAAGTAAGTTAGGTTGAGCCACCTAAACTTGCTGGGAAGAAAAAAAGAAAAAGAGGTGCCTTTTTGGCACTATGAGATATAAAGCATCCCGATCTCTTGCCATGTGTAGTTCTCTGTTGTTTGCTCTCCCCCTCCCCTCCTTCTGCCTGCTCAGGGACACATCTGCAAGCCTTGCTTTCATTCCTGTGACTCATCTGGCCATGCCTCAGCTTCTGCTTGTTTGGGTGAGTAAGGTCAGAAGCAGCTCTCCGTGCGTGATTTTCTGAAGAAAAGTCAAATCTTTGTCAAATGAGCACTGCCTTGATGAGAGCTTTATGTAGACTCAGACAAATGAGATTGCAGAGAAAAGACATTCCTTATCTCCCTTCTCCCTCCAATGTAAATAGTGCAGCATGTGGGAAACAGATGAGTGGCCTTTCTGTGAGAACGCCAAGAATGACACTTTTTGTCTTTATTGAAATGTTTGTTTTGCTCTTTACCTTGTTCTGGGGAAGATCCTTCTGACTGGGCCCTGTAGCTCACTGCCCTCTTTCTTTAAGCTGAATAAAGTCTTGCTGGCCTTTGCCTTTTAGCAAACTCCTTCCCAAAGAGGAGCCTGGATGCAGCTGGAATCCAATCCTAGCCCCAGCCTTTGTCAGTGGTTTATGCCTGAAGGATTATATAGGTGTAATTGAACTTTTATACAGCTTTGTCCTGCAGGATTAAGGATGGTAAACCAGATATATTTATATAAATATAAATAATTTATTATAATACTGGTTAGACAAAATGAGTGTAATCAGAATTATTTGCTACACAGTATAGGAGCTATAACAGCTAGTATAGTACAGTGCACCATGAAGCAATATTAAAGCAATTATATTAAAGTGATTGTATTAAAGCTAGCAAAAACAGTTATTATGTAGAGATTGATGTTACTCCCCCATACTAACGACCATAGGCAAAGCTCTTGCTCAGCCCCAGGGAGTAACCTTGAGGGGGATATCCACTCAAGGGAGGAATCTCCACACATATGCTCCAAGAAGGGGTATGTTGGAAGACCTTGCTGTTAACATTTGGGATTGGGCTTTTATAGTATAAAGTGTTTCACTGTCAGTCAGATGTCTTCAGGCCAGCTCAGCAGCTTTAGATAAGTTAGTAGTAGTATCACTTGTTTGTTCCTTTATCAGGTACTTTATCAGGTCTACATCTCATTATCAGAATGTTTAACTTTTGGATTGATGAGTCAGACTGGTTTCAGCATTATTCAACGCAAAAGCAACTTGACACTCCCTTCTCCTTTTACCACTGGTAGCTTTGCAAATGCCATTGCCCTCCTGCCCACGTGCCTGGGGAGCAGGAGGTGTTAGTTGTGCCTGTCCCAGCCCCTGCCTTGCCCAGCAGTACCCACGTTGCCGATGAGAGGTGTCGCGTGTGTGCCGGGTGGGTGTCCTGCCAGGAGCCAGTAAGTGGGTTTGCTGATGTGTTAAAAGCAGATTTATGTGTTTGCACAAGCTGCGGTGTCTTCTGTTTGTTAAATAACTGGCAGATATAAGCATTGCTGTTGCTTTGTGCTCTGTCCCAGAGCTTGGCTGGTGAGCCTGGTCGAAGGCAGCTGCAGGCGCTGCTGCGCTGTTTCCTGGTCCCATTCTGGTGGCGTTGGTGGAATGCCAGGGCACCACAGGGAGCTGGCCTCCCTTCAGAGGGCATCACCACCACGCTTGTGCTGGGGAACAGAGGCCTCTGCCAGGCAGACGTGTGTGGTCACTGCCTGGCTTCCAGCAAAATGGGTGGGGGAGGTACAGGGGCAGTCCCTTGATCCAAATCTGTGCTATGTGCAGGCTTCTCCAGAAATTGCCATGTTGCCTCTACCCAGCAGTGCATTCAAGGTTTTATTCGAAACTACACAAGTTAAAATTGTATTGCTTTTGTATTTTTTAATGGCGGTTGATGTTCCCATGAGTCCCAGAGCTGGAATTCAAGGGCCTGGTGCATGATTCCTCCACTTAAAACCACCTCTACTTTGTCTTCTTCAAGCTTAGAACTTTATACTGGCTTCTTTTTCTGCTGAGTACACATAGATGCATAGAATAATGCACATCATGAAACAAGGGGAATCCTGTCAGCTGAATGAGCACCATTGCTTAATGAGCTCTGTTTCACTTTCTTTTTCATCTTTATTAGACCATATCTTCTATTCAAGACTTGAAAACAAGAGGCTTCTTAGAAGTTCATTATTAACTGCCCTTCTGATGGGGCTTTTAATCCTTACTGGCATTTTATTATTAATGGACTTCCATGAAATTTATAGAGCTGTTGCTAAGCAAATCTTTGCCAAGTACCTGCTTGTCACATGTCAGTTGGTAAAAAACACGAACAAACTCATGCTGCTTCCCTCTTTCTTGTTTCAGCAAACCAACTCCATTGATGTGCAGTCCATTGAAGAAATTTTGAGGGTAGGTGCTCTTAAATAATAGATCTCTGTTTGCAGATATTTTGTATGCATTAAGGTAATGGGTGGGGGAAATGGGTGCTTCTGTTCACTTGATAGTTGTTGCCATTGCTAAAAGTGTGTTTTGGTGTGCTAAGGAGCAGTAAAGGTAAAAGTTGGCCTCAGATACAGCTGGAGTTATAAGATAACCTTTCTCTGTGTATGAGTGTAATACAGTCTAGTGCAGTTCAAGAGCCACACTGACAAGGCGTGTGAGACAGACAGAGCTGCTCCTTCCTCAAGTCAGGGGTTGCCTTTCCTGAGATTCCTTCCTCCCAAGGCACTGGACACGCTGCTTTGTGTCCATGCTGCCAGCTCCAGTAGCGTGGCCCTGAGCAGGACCACGCACCCGAGTCCTTCCACCCACCTGTGCATGGCCCTGCTGCTGCTCCTTCCCTGGAATTCCAGTCCACTCGTGCAAAGCCAAGCCAGGTCTGATGCAAAACTGTAACCTGGTGTCCAAGCTGGCTCTGTGGGCAGCACACAGGCTCCCAGTGCCTGAGTCTGAGTCCATGTCACCCCTTCCCTGTGCATGGTGTGAAAATGCCCTGTGATTCCCAAGCCAGTGGTGCTGATCCCGAGGAGACAGTTCCTTGATGTCAGATGCTATTCTGAGACCTGAAGTCCTAGTGGAGGTGTTTGGTTTCTGCAATTCACTTCCCTCACTGTTGCTTCAGGTTGCAAAGTCTTGATGCCTTGATTGCTCTCAAGAAGGTGTTGCTGGGGCAGTGTTTTAGTTGAAGGGGAGCTGTGCACAGGTGCTTGCTGTCTGCTGTGTGCTGGTTGGAATTGCAGCATGAGGACTCCAGCTGGAAGTCCAGCATCCTTTCGTGTTTCACCAGACAGCCTGTGTTCTTGCATGTTAGGAATGCATATCACTGTTTTTGTAGCAACCATGGAGAAGCGTGTACAAATACATCAAGAGGTAGATCCATGTGAATTCTGAAGTGTGAAGCTTCCTCTGTGTCCACCAGCAAAAGTCCTGATAACTCTTCTTCTTAATCTCTTTCCAGGAAATGACCAGATCATGGCCACCTCCCCTGACAGCTCTTAATACTCCTACTAAAGCAGAGCCTTCCAAATTTCCATTCCCAGCAAAGGTAAAAGATCTTCTTTTTGCCAGGACTTTTGATAAACTAGAAGAGAGCCTTCTAGCTCTTGCATGTGTTTTCATCTGATTTTGGCCCCCTTTCATAGATAAAGGCTGTTAGGAGGTATTATCTTCAGAAGTCAGGTAAATTAAAAGGACAATAGGGATATGCTTAATCAACTTAGACATTTGTTGTAATTGTGGTCTTCAAATGTAACTGCTTTGAAGCACAAAATATATTTTATCTTTATTGTCAACAGAAATATTTGCTGACTGTGTTAAACAGAAGTGTTTGGAAGCTCGCTTTTATGACACTTTTTAAATATTTCTTAAAAAATGCACATGCCCGTAATGTGCTAGCAACACATTTTTAGTGGCAGTAGCATGTATCATTTCTGTCCATGCTAAGCTACAGCAGGCCAGCTTAGACTATTGGACACTCCAAAGTGCAGCTTTGACAAGCTAGCCAAAGTATTTATTACAGTAAGTAACACGTGGAAAACAGATCATCAGTACGCTGCTATTAAAAGACAGCTGATTTATTTTATTCTCAATTTGCACTTCATCCTTTCTTTCTAGGAATTGCAGCCTGAGGTATCTGTAGCACAGGATCAGAGTAAGTAGAAATCCAAAGAAAACACACAGTTATATGTGTATTGACAGATAGTTTTGTGTGTTGTGTGTCATATGTTGCGGAGAACATCAAATGTTTATATTGATTAACAGGAGTGATTTAGTCTGCTTTGTTGAACAGTGATGAATTTAGAAATGGCTTAAGAGATAGTAAACATTCATTACCTAAAAATTAAGGCTACAGTTCAGCAGAGGACAAACCCCATTTGGAGTGGTGAATAATCTCAATGGCAAATAATTATGTCCTAGAAGAAAGTGACTAGTCTAATCTGGTGCTCAGAGACCATAGGGTAAAATAGGCTACAAGGGAGGCGAATAAAACCAACCTGTTAATTTTTGATTTACAGAGCAGTATGGCACAGCTTCAGAAACATTGCCTAGTTCTCAGCCAAGAACATCGTAAGTAACCAAATCCTGTTCCTATCTCTACTGTGCAGTTAGTTAAAAGAACCTGGAATGACCTAAAATTTTAGTTACTTGACGATTCTGAAGATTAAGGGTTTTATCAGTCCGATTTTTCTTAGAAAACTTCAATACAGGGAATTTTCACCAACAGAAACATTATTGTTTTGTGATGAAATCGTAGAATGGTTTAGGTTGGAAAAGACCTTTAAGATCATCAAGCCCAGCCCTTAACCTAACAATGCCAAGTCTATTAAACCATGTCCTGATTGTGATGACTGTGTTAAAACCAAAACAAAACTATATTAAAAAACAAACAACTACTAATGTACCAGATTCAAGTTTTTTAGTTCTTTTAATTTGTGGCTGATTAACATCACACTTTTTGAGCTCTTCAGCCTACTAATAATGCATCCAACTATAAATTATAAGGGATACAAACTGAATCTCATCGATTCTGGATATCATCTTGAAACCTGGGAGGGCTAGTAAAGCTGCAGCTACAAAAACTGTAAAAACTAAGGTGAAATTTTAAAGTAACCGTGTGATATAATTTTCTGCAATTGCCCAAGGAAAAGTTTTCTAAAAAGTGTTGTCTTCATTTTATTTTTATTTAAAAAACCACACAAAAAATTTTGCATGGGTTATCTAAACCCCTCAATTTATAATCTAATAACATAGTTAGTTGCAGAGTGGGGTGAAGATGAAATTTCCGTAGTGTATTTTATTATGTGTGTATGTATATATATATATAAAATTAAGCGTAGTCACTATGAAAGTTTTACAAAGCAGGAAGGCGCCAACTAATAAATTATTGCTTCAATAGAAAATTTTAAGTTGTTGGATAAAATAACTTGGTACTGTCCTTGTAGGTGAAAGTGGTTATCCATTAATTAGGTTAATTACAGAAGTTGCTTGAAAGCAGTTTTGTGTGGCCTGACATTAGTCTTTAAGAATTAACCTGGCCAGATGGCAGCATTGATGTGTTCTGAGCCCTGAGTGACAAATGGAAATCTTTCAGTGTCTGGAAGGCTCAGGGGTCTATTGCTGAACCATTAAATGCCTGTCAGTTCGTGTGATACATAAAGATCTCATGTTACTCCATAGTATGTTGTTCCATAGAAGACTGCAAACTACAGACTACAAAACTTATTCCACTTGTTTTCCTTTTCCTTATTGTGAATCATTTAATTAAAAACAAAACAAAACCGGGCTAGTCACAAGTAAGAGGGAAGAGCATGCCTCCATCTTAGTTGAGATTGTAGAGTTTTGCATTCATGCTCTGTAAGATCTGTTAAATATCCCTTTTCCTACTGTTCTAGCATGATGCAGAGGAGCTCTTGCTCACTGGGAGTATGAGACAGTGTCTTGTTAAGCAGTCAGCTACTCTCTTAATCCATTCCTTATTTTGCTGCTCTTTCTTTCAGCCTAACTTGCTCTTCCTCAATGACTTCTGGAAATTTTCTTTGCACAGTTGAAACTAGTAGTTTCAACTTCTCTAGGCTCTGTCCTCCTCCTCAGCTACCCTATGACCCTCATCATTATTTCAACTTTTGAACTGCTTGTAAAAATCTCTTTAGTGTTTTAGTCAGTTTTCCAGGCAGCAGAGAGAGAATAAACTTTTCTTATAGACAAGAATTGGAAAAGACTCCTTTCTTAGCCCAAGGGGCCAGAGTTGAAAATTTGGCATGGCTCTCTCCTTAGCCAAGATCCCCTCTCTGCTCAGGGTCCTTGCCAGGCACTTCAGAGTTAGCGCTCATCTCCCAGGGATGTGCATACCCACAGCTGACAAAGGCAGTGGAAGCAGGAGGAATAGGGTGGCTTGGGTTTATGTCCAAAATGAAGTCAAGTGAGATTTGCCCAAGGACTTCTGCATCTTTCCCTTGAACCGATGCATCCCTTCTTTTTTGTGTTTGTTTTCTTTGGCACAACAGGGCTGGGCTTTCTTCGCTGTTCAAAGTGCACGTGACTGTCTGGAAATTCAGCTGCCTGGAGTAGCTTGTGTTGCAAAGTGTAGCTGGCTGAAAACAAACAGCATTTGTGCTGGTTAATTAGAAGTTGAAATCCCAAGGCATCTGTCCGCCCAAATTAAGCATTCAGCTTTTCAGAGCGTGCGAGGGTTTCCCAGATGGCTTTCATTCTTGGATGCAGCCCCGAAGTTCGCACCTGGCTGCACTGGAATGAAAACAGCCCTTCTTTTAAAAGGGGAGATGCCAGCTCATTCTTGTTGATACATCTTTAACCTGGCTAGCAGAGGGGGGCCAGCCTGTGCTTTCAGTGGGGTTGTTTGGCAAATGATATTCATTTTTGTGCTGCTTCTTTCTCTAAAAGAGCTCTTTTTAAATAGCTTTACAGGGAGATTAATGGTGTGTATATAAGCTGCAAATGAACAGGTCCTGCAAATGAAAACTTGGCATCTATTAAATTGTGAGCTAATTAAAGCATTATTAAGGCAGATTTTATTTTTTTTTAACTAGGCTGGTTACAATTTGTTGAAGACTTGTTTTGGGGAAAGTGGCTTTGTCTATTCTTGAAAAAGTATGACTTTTGAAGTTTTATTGTTCTTCCTTGATCCTAAATTAAATAGTTGCAGTGTTCTTTTATGCTGATGCATTTTATTTACCAGCAGCTCCTGTGGAAAGGGCATTCTATTACAGTTAAATCAGATTTAAAAGAAGACCTAGGTAGCTTCTTTGCACATCCCTGTTCATGGCAGGGGGTTGGAACTAGCTGATCTTTAAGGCCCCTTCCAACCCAAACCATTCTATGATTCTATGGTTATCCTCTTACCTCTAAAGGAAATAAATCTGTAATCCACGATGTCTTAAAGCAGAACAAAACAAAACAAACCCAATCAAAACCACTTTCAGAACATTTTAGCAACCCCTAAGGAGTTGTAAAAGAAAATAAAAAGAATTAATTGAGATGCCAGTAGACATTTGACCAAACTGCCCAGAAGTGTGAAGAGTGTCTGTATTGTTACTGTTCTTCTTTTTTCCTTTTTGTGCCTCATCTGTCTGGCAGTGAGCTTCGGCTCTAGCCCGCTCTAGTGCAGGATTTCTGTAGGCTGCGAGCTCTTTGCCTTCTGTAGGAAATTCAGGGCTCTAGTTTTCCAAGGTGGTGTCTCAGCGCTTTCCTTCAGTGTTTACTCTAAAAGAAGAGACAAGAGGTGATTTCCACTGAGAAGGTGTGCGAGGAAATGAAGCAATAGAGCATAGTCATAGGGGAATGACAGTCAAAATGCCTGAACAAAGCAAGCACCAACTTTCTCCACCTTTTTCCAGTGTGATGTAGTTCACTGGGCTTCGTTTATATTTGTTTTCTTGCTGTAAAATGTATTGACATGAGGAGTTGGAGGCTTGTTTTTCTTATTTAATCATAAGGGCTCTCTGTGAGAAACTTCTTAGTTTGAAATGAGGTTGAAATAAACAGAATTTTGACCTGATTGATTAAAATCCCTGCCTCAGTTCCCAAGCTTTTTATCCAATTTTTAGAAGGGCACTTGAGTAATCCTCTGGGTTGAGAAGTTTCAAGATTTGAATAACTATACTTTTGAATAGCAACTATTTTCCAATATCTTTTTGGGATGTCTGCATGATTGGCAAAGAGGAGGATAACAATATGGGAGAACTTTGGGTCCCTTCCTGAAAATCCTTCCCTTTCAGCCTTATAATATATTGAAATTGCAACAGTATTTACCACCTTCAGGCAGAGAACTTAGTGATATTTTTGGAAGCATTTGCAGGCAGCCTGCTCTCTTTGCCAGCAGTAGTAAAACAGAGCTCATACCTCCCCACTTGTAAACTGCTTTGGGTATCCAAACTGCTCAGCAGTACAGTTACTGCTAGGATGTGCAGGAGCATAAAGTTCATTGTGCAGAAAAGAAACAGGAGGCAGGCTTGACCTTGGCATTTACTCACGTATGTGTGATAGGAGACTTCAGCAGCAAAACGAGAACCCCTGCGACAGGAGAAATATTCGCAACCCCTAAGTGCAGAGAGCGTGAACATGCACAGCTTCTGGTGCAAAGGCGATGCTTTCTGTCCCTTGGGGAGCCAGTGTGGGCTGAGAGCATGAGAATCTCTTCCTGTACAAGGTTCAGACTTCTTCCGCCCTGTGCTAATCTGCTAGGTGGCCTTCTCTGAAGAGGATTCCCCTCACAAAACTTGGTCTTTGTTTTCTGTAGATGGCAGCCATTGCTATGGGCCTCCATTGCAAAATATCCCAAGGTCAATTGAAAAACAGAGTAAAAAAGAAAAAAAAAGTCATTTTAACCATTCATTTAGGTATTGACAGGTTTTAGTAGTTTGAGCATGCCACATGTTCAGGAATTACGTGAGAGGTTGATTTGTTTTGGCAAACACGAACCAAGTATTTTTCAGTGTCTTCTGCTTGAAAATGTGTCTGCCTTGGCTGATATTTACCTTCTGGTTGTCTTTCAGAATGCTCCAGGACGACCTGCAGCTCAGTGATAGTGAAGAGAGTGGTGACGACCAAGTCGGTTTTAGATGTTTTATACACTAGGCACACAGACTTCCCTTTAAATCATCACCACTTGTTGCATTGTTCTGAGTTCCGTGAGCTAACCTTTCCTCCCCCTCTCCTCTTTGTTTTTGTGAACAAAACAGGTTGTTGAAAAGTCACCATCTTCACTTACTCCTCCAAGGTACAGGTTTGTTCCCAAACTACTAGCTAGACCACATAAGGAGAAAAACAAAACTACTTTCTATATGTGGGGTAGATGGCTAAGGGTTCCTGGTTTCTCTGGTAGCTATGGGCTTTGGTTTCTGGCTGCTGTTGAAAGTCGGCTTTAAGTGTGTGGGGTTTTCTGGAAAGCTCCAATTAGAAGTGAATAATTTAATTTCGTACTGGATTTTGCCTATGAACCAGAACTGTATTTCCTCAACTGCTGCCTTCTTTTTTCCTCTTCCCCTCCACCTGTGTGTATGCAGATCACACTGGAGGTAACAGGATTTTCAGTTGTAGTAGCGATGGGTGAGGTGCAAGTGCAGTTGTAGTTCATAAAGAAGCACAAAACAGCCAAGTGGGTTAGAAAAACTCATTGAAACTGTTTCAGCTCCTCCTGATAAGGCAGTGGATTGTAAGCAGTTCCTGCCATGTATTGTTGGTCAGAAGCAATATTCAAGGTAGACTGAAAACTGCATGCCAGCGTTAGAGGAAGAAAGGTGGAGGAGCCCAGAATTTTTCCTGTAGGAGAGCCCTGACATACATTTTTGGCTTGATATCTGTATTCTTCAAGCACATGATAATGACCTACAAAGTCAGACTTCCAGAAAAGCACACTGATTTTTGGCACAATCTATATGTCTGCAAACTCTTAAAAAATAGGAGTGTTCTCACGATACCAGTCTTGGATCAGCAAGGAGCATGCTTCCAAATCATACAAGTGTGTTGATATTGATGTGGGAAACCATTTGCAAAGTAAAAAAAAAAAAAAAAAAAAAAATCAATATTTTAATTTTGTAAGCCCATTGCAAAAAAAAAAGAAAAAAGCTGTGCGTAAAAGTGCCAGCTTTCCCTCAGTTCCATCCACTCCCATTGTCAATGTGGAGGAAAACACTTGATTAGAAGAGGGTGTTGCAAGAAATGCTGCTGCTTGGTGTGACTGTTAATGAAGTGGTTACAGCAGCTTGACCAAGTAAAACAGATGTAGAAGTGAAAACTTCGGGGGGATGAGTAGAAAAACCAGAAACCATCCTGGAGTATATGTTTCTGTCTTGTTCACCTTCTTTGGAAATTTTTCATTTTGTGGGTTGGGACTTTCAGAAAAAGCACTGGTCACTTTTGGTGGGTTTTTAAAATTTCCTTTGCTAAATGAAGCTTTGCATTGTAGCAGTGACGTCCTGTTTACATATTTGACTGGGCTGGAGTTGAAGGTTTTATTATTTCCAGTGATTTTTTTATTCCAGTTCTTTATTTTTTGAGTGTGACAGTACATTCCTCTGGCCTTCTCCCCTCTTGTCTCATTGCCAAAACACGGAATTTCAGTTTTATTTTTGAATACTGACATGTCAATATAGTAAGTAAGTAACCTTCACCCATGCTGCTTTCTAATTTTATCTCATGGTGGCCTTGCAGTTCCTTACAGTCTCAGCCCAAGAGTGTGGCATCAGCACATTCCAGCAGCTCAGAGTCAGGGAGCACCAGTGACTCAGAGAGCTCCTCAGACTCGGAGACAGAGAGCCACTCCAGTGACAGTGAAGTGAATGACCCTCCAAGAGCACCAGCGCCTGAGGTGAATGCAAATAGAACCTAGAGACTGCTTAACAAAGCCTCCTGCCTCTCTGCTGTCTCAGTGCAGTCAGGACAGAAACACTGTCATTGCTTGGGTGCCCCCTTGACATTTTTGCTGCATCACCATACTTTTCTTGCCCTTTGCTTCCCTTCTAGAGTTTTTTGATTAAATAACCCTTAGTAACAATGTAATTAGACTTTCAGATGCCTAACCTTGAAGTATTCCCCCTTCTCCGTTGGCATCATTGTCTAGCACTCACTGGCGAGACACAAGCGAGTTGCAGATGAGAAGCACGGCTGGCCTGGGTGTCTGCAGCATTTCTGGGTGCCAAGGCATTGGGTTGTTTCTGCAGCTCCTGTGCCTGAGTGACAGATTCAACTTCTCCCAGGTCACAGCTGAAGGGATCAGACCTGCAGGAAGGGCTGGAATGTGCTTAGTCTTGCTTCTGTTGAATTTGGCTTGGATAGTGCTGCACTGGCATTTCTGAGGCTTTTATTGGGGAAAGTGAACCAACAGAAATTGGTATCTTAAAGTTTCGTAATTGAGACCGTGCAATTTTTTAGAAATGTGCTGCAGAAGTGCTCATGTCCCATGCTTTCAGACAGTTCCTCCAGCTTGCAAAACATTCTTAGGCCAGTGGGAAGTGCATGGTTATATATGCAGACCACAGCTGATGTAATCTGATATACTGGCAATTCTGAAGTACTCTTAACAAGGCCCAGAAAACTTGTAATTTATTTCTCCTCCCCTACCCCAATTCTAGCTTTCTTTTCTTTTACCTTAGAAGTGCATGAACAAGGAGAATTTTATGTGCTGAAAATAAACTTTGAGAAGGCCTATCTTTCCATCTCACCCCAATACTCTTTACCCTCCGGTTCAATTACAGACTTTGCCCACTGCACTGAGTGTCTTTGGAAGGAAACAGATATTATACTTCTCCTCTTTTACCAAATTCTGCCTGGTTTTCCTGAAAATACTAAGTTTTAAGACCATTTAAGACTTCACTCTAGTGAAGTCCTAGCTATTTGCCATTGACCATTTTATCCTTTTTTTATTCAGCAAGCTGTCCATCCATGATGCTCTAGATAAGTTAGTGTACGTGGCCAGTTTCTTTATAGTCAGTTCTTGTGCGAAAGTACACACTTTAAGGCCTACAGACAATAGTCTCTGGGCTCTGATAGGCTGTGCTAGGGTGGAAACAGCTCATAAGGGCATCAGTCTTGAATCCTTCCTTTCTCTTTTTGTCTGCAGCCCGAGCCACCAACTTCTAATAAGTGGCAGCTCGACAACTGGCTGACCAAGGTGAACCCACCAGCAGTGCCAACAGAGAGTCTCAGTGAAATTACCTATGGGGATGGACATGAGGAGGGCAAGAAGCAGGAGCAGGGCTTCAGCAGCAATTCCTCCCATAGGCATGCTGAGCCAAGGGAGCCTCATCATAAGAGCCAAGTGGCCAGGGCTCCTCGGGACACTCATCTTCCAACAAAACGCAACTGCCAGAAGCCCCCTGTTCCCACCGAGGAGCCCTCGCCCAGACAGACTGTAGGTATCAAAAGGCCCAGCAAGCCCCTGGTGCAAGAGGGGTCCAAGAGAGGCCTGAAGGTGGAGAGTGACCCTGGTCCTTTGGAGGTCAGAGACCAGTCTTCCAAGGACAAGCCGAAAGTCAAAAAAATAGTCAAGCCAAAATCCACTGACAGAAAAGACCTGAAGTCAGCACCTCAAGAGCCCTTTGAGAAGAGAAAGCACAAGGGCTCCCACCAGGCCAACACCAAATCCTTCTTGGACCCCAAGCTCATGGAAGATGCCCAGACATGCGATGCTCTCATTCCCCTTCCTCAAGGCCAGGGCACAACCCCAATCAGGACCAGCAGCCACAGGCCTCAGGATTTGCACAAGGAGAAACTGCCTTTGCCTCTCGGGGAGAAGTTGCTCTCACCAGTGAGGGACCTCCCAACCCGTGACCGCCTCGTGGTGAAAATAGATCTCCGTCACCTGGCAAAAGTCCCTCAGCCTCCCAGAAAAGACCGACACCAGAAGAGAACAGAGACTAAGGACCTCCCTGGTTCAAGGAAACAGGACTTGAAGAGGAAAGCCACAGACACTCCTGAGGAGTCCCTTCAAAAGAGGAAGGTGAGAGGTGGAGGGGAAGGTGGGTTTGTACCAGGACCAAGGTGGTGTTTCAAAAACCCCTGTGGAGTTTCCACTTCATACCTATGATGATAGTTATAATGAGCCATTATGCTCCTCCTATAAAGCTGTTAACACACTTCTAAGGAGAATGTGGATCAAAACTGTCTGCAATTGCTCGTTGGTCTCAAATCCCCTCCTGGGTGAATGAAAAACACTGCCAGCTGTCTAACGTGCTTTGGTATTTTAAAGTATTTTTTGCTGTGTTTTTTTTTAAATCCTAGTTTTCTCAGACAACAAAACCTCAGCCCTCCTTTGTTGGAGAAGCTTTCAGCAGCAGGCTATGTCAGCATGTGGCTGACCAGCCCCCTGGCAGTGTTGGTGGGTTTCTCTGGCTTTCAACCCAAGCAAGAGCTTTGCAGGGCAGTGGTGCCTCCTCCCCATGTCACCCCATTAAAAGCAGCACAGTTCCTGAAGCACATCCCGGTCTGTGCAGTCACCTGCACTATGCATTTAGTCTGTTTTGGGAGAGCACCTGGTCTGCAGTTTGTGGGGTCCCAAGAGAGAGAACTGACCCAGGACACTCTGGTCTGTGGTTTTCAGTTTTGCCCATGGGTGCACCTTCTGCTGCCTTGAACCATACAACCTCAGGCTGAGTAATGTAGTCTTTTCCTGTGTGAAGTCATTTATTTCCGTGAAGCAGTTGTGATTCCTTGCAGGAGGGATCAATTCTGCAGGTGGGAACTATGTTATTGCCAGAGGTGATGGCAATGGCCCTGTGCCTTTTGCTTTTCTGGAAATGCAGACTTTTAACTGGACCGGGCTCACTCATGGTAACATCTGTCACAAAACGCTGCTTTGGGTCTTGGCACTTGGATAAATAGGTAGAAAACTTGTTTGGTTTTCCCTGGAGCTGCTGTCGTGCTTGCAGTGATGCTGATGCTTTAGAGATGTAAGGGGCTTTCCAGAAACCCCTTTGCAGAGTCCCTCAGCAATAAGAGTCACTTTCCCTTGAATTACAGCCCTGTATTTAACTGAGCTGGTTGTTGTTCACAAGTGCTTTTGGAAAGCTGACTCCCAAAGGGAACTGTGAATATACCTCCAGCCAGCTGCTTTAGATGCACAAAGAGTTGGCTGCAGGCCCTGTGGTGAATGGGTATTCCCTGTGGATATTTCAGTGCATGTCTACCTTTTTGCTCCCAGAGAGCAGGTGGCTCAGCATGGGTGGGTGAATAACCATGGTTCCTGTGTGGGTTTCGTTGAGTTTTGTCATTTTCTGAATTTCCTGTGACTGTGGGGGAGAATTGAGAAGAACAGGGAAATGGTGAAGAAATTTGAGAGACCCCAGCAGTTCCCTCTCTTGCAGAGCAGAGGGAGAAAGGAAAACAGGCAGTCAGTTTGTCACTTCTTCTGTTGTCTAAAAAACCCAGGAGAGAAGCTATTTGATGTTAGGCATGTCTTCCCTTGCAATCTCAGCGCCCAACTTCAGGAAAATGCACTTCAGAGCCCCATTGTCCATCCTGTCAGTGGGCATCAGGTATCCTTGGAGGCTCAGGCTTCACAGCAGCCAGCTGGGCCAGGTACAACTGTCTTTCATGGTAGTGTGGAGACCAACCTGAAAAACAATTCAAGGACATGATCTCAGTGCTGGAGCCTTGTCCTGAGCACACTGCCAGAGGTAGACTCTGTGTCACAGCACAACCCATTGAGTGACATAAGCCTGGATGTGTCCCAGACATGGATACAGGACAGGGAGAAGAACTCACTAAGAGCAGCCTGGCAAAGAAGGAGCTTAGGGGGTTTTGGTGGATGAGAAGCTGGACATGACCCAGTAGTGTGCGTTTGCAGCCCAAAAAGCCAACCCCATCCTGGGCTGCATCAAAAGATGTGTGGTCAGCAGGTTGAGGGAGGTGATTCTGCTCCTCTACTCCACTCTGGTGAAACCCCTCCTTGAGTGCTGCATCCAGTTCTGGGGTCTCCAGATTGTAACTGACTGTTTAAAAATTTCACCTATATGAGATTCTTATTAATAAAAACCAACCTCCCCTGCACATTTGGGGGATCTAACTCACATGCAAGTGCCTTACCTTCGATTAATTTTGATTTTTTTTGATTAGCAGCAACAGGTTTAGCAGTTCCATCCCTGCCACTACAAAACAATCAATCTATACAAGCAAAAGCAGATAAAATGCCATTTTAGGTTACTTGTCAGTGAGCCTGAAATCTATATCTGCTGCACTGTGGGTTTCTACTTTGTCGATTCAGATATCTTGGTTTTTTCTTTCTTTTTTTAACCAGAATCAATCAAACTTAGCTGTACTGGTCTGTACTTTATGTGAACTTTGAAAACCTGAGTGATTTTTTTTTCCCTTCCCATTAGAGGGAAGAGAAGGAAGAGACTGATAGGAAGAAAAAGAAATCAGAAAAAGAAACAAAATCATTGCAGTCTTCAGCTAACAAAGACTCCAGTAAACCGAAGTGAGTATTGGTGGTGGGATGGCAAAAGATGCATAAAGCTAAGTCTTTCTTTATAAGGTTAAAGTAAGGAACTATATCTCCTGTCCTTATGCTCATGATTTTGCTTCTAACATAATGTGTCTTCTGAAACTCAATCTGCTGTAGATTTGCCTTTACATCCTGGAAGCAACCACTAAAGAAAATAGGGAGCATTTCACTTCTCCGCTAAAATTATCTTGTTGTATTTGTCTTTTTATTCTATGTGACCCGACAGAAACATAACCAGCGTGCCTTTTGAGTCCTGACTGTCTGGAATTTCAGGTGGCCTTTGTGGCCAGGAATTTCTCATTTATCCCAGCACAGCATTTGTAGTGTTCTAGTAGATCTGCCAAAGCTTGCCCTGTAATTTGCATACCAGGGCACTGCCAGAATTTTGGCTAGGTCTTAGCTAGAGTGAATGCTTCCGAGAGCAGGTCTCCAACTGGGCAGTGTTCCCAAGAGGGAAGACTCATGCATCAGTCATGGGCTACTGCCTTCAATTCCTGCTTGCTTGTGGCTTGAATTTGAGGTGTTGGTTTGGATTGGTATGTAGTGCTGAGGTTTGTGTCCTGACAACAGGAGTAAACAGCTTTTCTGCACAGAAAACTGTTTATCTGAAAGCACTGAAGCATTGGGACTAACATTTAGTTGGGTGAAGGGATATTTGAACTGTGGTATTAATGGAAGAGCTTTAATGCTGGGGTTTATTGCTCCCTTTTTTTCAGTGAAAATGAGCACCTGTTATAGTTGTGTTCTGGCTTTTGGTGTGGGAAGAATAGGATGCATTTTTGGGGAGACAGTGCACTGGATCAGGTCAGGGGATGGTTCTGTGCTCTGTGGAGCATCAGCTGTGCCAAGGTAGAGAAGCTGGGGAAGCACGTGTGCAGTGACTAGGGACCCATGGGAAAAGTGAGTGGTGAAAGAGGGGAGAGGACTGTCCCATGCACAGCAGAATCAGGCAAGATGTGCACCTGATCACACCTGAGCCCTCTCACTGGGTTTAACTTAATTTCCTCCTCTTCTGATATTGCAGTCAATGAGCCGGGATTCACTGCTCAGTGTTTTCTTGGAAACTTTGAGAAGCTGAATAAAAATGATGTAACTGAGCAGTGGTGAAACAAGGTTTAGAAATATTTGATGCTGCTTAGAGCTGCCCGAGTTCCCTGGTCATCCTAACTTCGGATGATAAGAAATCTAATATGCCTCTGTATTATTAAATGTGATAATCTCTGCCATTTAAAAGCAGAGCATTTTAAGTCTCCATTAGTTGAATCCTCTCAACTTTGTAGGCATTGTCTAGTCGAGCTGGCAGGTCTTAGAGGAAGAACTCAGTTTAATTCTGTCAAAGCACATAGAGAATCAAGTGTCAGGGTGAGTATCTCTGACCGCAGAAGATACTGTCTACCAAAAGGGGGAGAGAAGGAGTGCTGCAGCTCATTTGCCTTGTTGGGTGATTTGTCCCAGGGATTTGAGTTGCTGTAATTACCCCATCATTCAGTGAAAATGAATGAGGGCTGTGTTGGAGGGATGCCTTTTTTACAACATCCTGGTATTCTGGTTGCATTTGCTCCGAGGACAAGTTCTGAGACTTATTTTGAAAAGCAACTTATTTGTATGTTGATGGTAGGTGAAGCTTTGGTATCTAATACACAATGAAGTCCCTGAAGTTTCATTTTGTGTTTGTTGGATTCTTTTTATTAACAAAGCGTCTCACACGTCCAGAGGAATTTAAACAGAATCGGTACGTGATGTAAATAAGTTTTTAAAAAATCTCTACATATATGTACATTGTATTCATGAATTTGCTTCCCATCTGCAGAGCATCAAAAGCTTCATTTGAAACCCAGAAGAAAGATGTGTTGCTCCCAGCACTGCCACCCACGTCTACTGCACATCCTGCACCAAAGTCAACCAAGATGGCCCAAAAGAGACACAAAACCGACACTGATGATCTGCCTGCCATGGATAACCCTGCCAGGAACAAGAGCAACCACAAGGATCCTCTGTCTGCCAAGCACAGGAAAGTGGAGGGAAACCATACAGAACTGTCAAAGGGCATCAAAGTAGGTGTCCAGGGTAACTGGTGGGATCTTTCCTGCAGGCCGTGGGTTCTGTGTGATTCTCTTTAGAAACATACTCTAAGGATATGAAAAAGAAAGGAAGATAAACCAGCCACCAGAGAGAGCTCTTGGAAGCATGTAATGGCTATCTGTGACCTTATGTTGGTAACCCAAAAGCCTGCGTGGTAACTTCTTTGTGACTTTCCATCATCTGTTTTCATCTCACCAGTGAAACACAGTGAGAAGGAGTGACCACATAAACAGCAAAGGCATAATTCTCATGTTTATGCTAGTCACTGTTTCTGATTGTAGGCAACTGCAAATGCAATATTGCTGGAAAAATAATGTGTTTATAAAAAGAAAGAGAGCATTGCTTAAAAATAAGAAACAAGCAACTAGGGGGATTGACTGCAACCGAGGTATAATATTTTATAGCTTGTTTACAAAATTGGTCATGATCCTTACAGCTGGATCTTTGCATTTCTGGGTTATAAAATTCAATTACATGGCTATTGATTAGTGGCTTGGAGTGTGTGGTCTAGGATGATGTTGTGTGTCTGTGTTAAGCCAGACTGTGCATGCTGTATTAGCAGGCTTTTAACTGCTTGCTTTTTCCTGACGCTGTAGTCATTAATGGAGAATCAGCAATTGTTGTGTGATTAAGTTGGAAATAAGTGTGAACAGATCTTACCCATTCCTGCCTTGGCTAGTGGCCCTGAAAAAAACAACCTTACTGCTCTCCTAGCCCCTGTGCAAGGAAACCTGCTACTGAATTTTTCCATGCTTGGGAAAAGTTTGAATGGTCTTAAGTATTATGAGCAGTCAGGTGAGAAGCCAAGCTTCCATTTCCATTATTTGAGGGGTTGCTGGGGAAGAAGGTGGGAGGGGGAGATCTTGGACAATAGTCTATGCCTGGGAAAAATAAACATTTTCTCTTGAAATTCAGGAAAGCCAGGCATTGGAATTGGTTTAAGCATAACTTCCTAACCAGGTTTATCTCTGTGCTTTTTCAGGGATCTGCAAGGGATGAGACAAAGCCTTTCCCAGTGCCTTTTTTGCCAAATGGTACCTCCAAGCCAAGAAGACCTCAACTCAAGTTTGAAAAGTAAGTTTTTGTTTTATACCCCTCATCTGTATTTCTCAAGATGTGAGGCAAGGCAGGCCCTGCAGCCACCCTTCTGCTTTTTCATGAGCTCTTCTTTTGGGAGTAGAGAGAGAGAGAGGTGTGAGACCTACCCTGTACTGGCTTCTGGTGACTCGGAGTTACCCCGCCCACCACAAAGCAAAGGTTTACAGCAAAGCAAAGGTTTACAACAGTTCTTGGTTTGAGGGAAGCTACTCTGGAAATTAGGTATCATCTCTCTTGTAAGTAGATAACTTGAATGCAAGGTCTTTTGGTCTCAGATGAGTGTGTGGTGCTGCCAAGTTTACTGTATGTTTCAATCAAAACGTATTTATGAGACTGTACTTGAGGAATGATAGATGATGTAACTACTATCTTTCCATGGGAATGAGAAAATAAATTTGCTCCCATAGCCTAACCTCTGGTGGTTTTTTATTTCTAAATATAAATTATCATTATTATTTCAACATACATTTTTAAAGAAATAAATTGATTTTCTCTGTACAGACAACATTCATTTAGTAACTCTCATAATTGGAATGTGTGTTTGATCAGGCTGTAACAGGCTTAATAAAACAGAGTGTTTGGACCCACAGCATTCTCTAGATATGTAAGTAAAGCTGATAATTATCCTACCCTTCTTCTGTTTTATCTGTTTCTCCTCTCTGTCCCCAATTCAGACAGCATTCAAAGGAATACTACTTCGAACAGGCCCAGAGGCTGAAGCACAAAGCTGATGCAATGGTAAGTCTTGGCCCTGTGCTAGAAATGTTAACCAGCTCTTGCATCCAGACCCGGTACTTGTGTGCATGGGAATAATATTCCCTGGCTAATGTGACTTCCATACTCCACACTGGACTATGTTCGAGTCATATGTTGGGAGGCTGTTTTATTTGCCAGATGTTCAGACATTTCTCCTTGGTGTAAACCCCTCTAAAGAACAGGATTCAGAACCAACATTGTCTGAGGTTAGCAGGCCTGGTTTTTTTGCAGAGCGATAAAACAGTCCCTGGAAGACAGATGAAACGGTTTTCAGATAGTTTAAAAAGTTGGAAAAGTCAGGATCCTGACAGTTATTGTGTTCCTGGTGACCAAGACTTTGAAGTTTCCTTGGCAGATCTGACTGGTTTTCTCTGTTCTGTGCAGTGTAACAGTGTGCATGGGTGAACATATTGTTTTGCTAATTATGGGTCCATGAGATAATGTCCATTTGCTACTTGCCATTTATCTGGGAAAATGAAGTGAGGGAATACTGCAGTGGGAAGGCCCCCTCTGCCTCTCAGAAGGCAAGCCTCCAAGACCAGACAATAATATCTGAAAAAAGTGAAGATAATAAATTACTTGAGGAAACCACTGAGCAAGAGGAAGAGATACAAATAGCCAGAGCAGGCAAAGGTGATGACTGGGACCACATGAGGGATTCTGCTGAGAACTCTCTAATTGTCAGCCAGAGGCCAGACTGGGATCTTTTTCTTTCTTCAAAAGCTGCCTAACCAGGGAGAAAAGAAGAATTCAAGTACACTTGAGAGAAGTGGGTTTGGTCTTGGACTAAAAATGAGTATTTTCTTCCCAATAGACTGACAAGACTGGAAAGGCCTTTCAGTACCTAGAGGCTGCCCTTTTGTTCATCGAATATGGTATTGCCTTGGAAACAGATGCACTAGAACCAAAATCAGCCTACAGCATACTCAGCGACACCATAGTTCTCATCAAGTAAGTGCCTTTCAAAGCATGATTGGAGGGGAAGGATTGGTTGCATTGCTTGTTTGCAACTGTGACACCTCTGGATTCCCACCATGGAGCGGAGTTGGGGTTGCTGTACATGCCTGAGACACAGACTATCCAGAGGCCCCAGAGGCAAATCCATTGAAAAGTTCCAGCATTGATTATCAGAAGGTAGGACCACATCACCCTCAGCATTTGAGCCAGGCAGCTGAGGTACACCAGAGGACACTGGTTATGACAATCAAGGAGGTGAAGGAGTTTTTACTTTACCCAGATCTGCAGTTGCTTGTGCGTGTGAGCTCAGTAGTATTTCAGTTTAAAAAAGCAAAACAACAGTATGGCATGTGGAAGAACAGTTTGTGCCCCAAAGGTCTTGCAGCTTGGTTGAAGGCAACTTTTCCTGGTTTCTCTGGGCCACAGGCCTGTAGGTGGCCCACATGGAGCATCTACTTGTTGCCCTTTAATTCATGTAAGAGGAGAGTGAGTCACATAAGGGACCACATCTGTTCTTACTGTATGGAAAACAAGGCATTTTGAGAGACAGTCCTCTGCTCAAGATCACACAAAAGTTCTTGGTGCCAGGACTAAGAACTCAGGGCAGGCTTCCAGGCTTTTGGACTGGTTTTTGAGGTAGTGGCATGTACTGTTTTTTCATAAACAGTGGGACTTCAGAGCACACTGATGGCTGACAAGGTTCTGTTTATTTTGTTTCCTTAGATTCATTATGACATTGAAACCATTTGCAGACTCCTCAGTCTCTCCACATGGAAAAATCTTTGCTGTGTTACGGTGCGTAGCTGGTTTTTTTCTGTTCCTTTATGTTCTGTTTTGAGACTTGATAGAAAGACCCATTACTTTCAGTGATGAAGGAATGGCAGTTAGAGTTATGCAAGGTTAAAAACCACAATATAAAAACTAGAATTAACTGAAACATCTCTAAAGTAAGCTGGAAGATCACAAGGGACCACGTGTAGAAGGCAGAGGCTTTAAAATTTGATCTGCTTGTAACTTGAGAGCACATAAGGGCTTTCACCTAAGGTGAAAGAATGCAATTTGGCTGCCCATGTTTGAACCATGTAACTGAAGCTGTAGCTGGACATGGCTGAGGCACTTCTGGGCGGGGGCTTACTCAGCCTTTGGCACCTCTGAGAGGCTGGGCACCTGTTTATGTAAAAGAACAGACAGGGCTCTTCCTCGTTTCTTTCTTTCCCTGGTGATTTTTTTCACAAGTCTTTTTTTTAAGATGAGCAGAAGGAGGAGGAAATTTTGAGCTTTCTTGGCTTTTCAGTACAGCTAAGGTGTGCTAGCCTCTGTCTCACAAGGCTGATGACTGCTGAGCACAAGCAGTGACACTTGGGTGTGTTTCTGTTCACAGCATGCGCTGCCAGTCCATTCTGCACATGGCAATGTTTGGTTACAAAAAAGACACTGCAATGAGGTATTCCAGACTCCTGAATGACCACTTCAAGGTAGGGCACAGGTATTATTAAGCTGCCAGCTGGTTGGCTGTGGTAGTTACTGATGTCAGCTGAACAGCCCAAAACTAACAAGACTTTTATTCCTTGCTGCAGAGTAATTTCAGAGTAATACAAGCACCTTCTCCAGGTTTTGCAAGGTAAGATTTAAAAACTTGTGTGTTGTCATGTGTCTGTGTTTTAATAATAATGAGTAAGAAAAAACTTTTCTGTGTGCTGTGGTAGTTGCATTTGGCAGAAAGCTACCAGGCTCCACGTGTCCCCTCTATGCTCTGTGGCTGAGAGAGGGATGTTTGGACTTAAATAGTGGTGCTGATTCCAGTTACATTTTTTGGCCACCTTGCACAATACAGTTCATAGGAAAGTAAATGTCCTCTTGAGAGCAGTGGTGGAAGCCCTGTCATACCAGTGACTAAAATTAGGTTGGTTGAAGTGGTGGGGTGAAGTGATGTGATGAAGCCAGTCTGTGTCTGGAAGGCGGGTGGCTGACCACATTTAGCCTCCCTAGGCCTATAAATAAGTGTGTGTAGGCTGACCTGGCTGCTTTGAGTAGGTGTCAGAAAGCTCCAGCCTCCATGGAAGGGGAGCTTCAGCGTGCCTGAAATGGAAAGCATTAGTTAAAAACGCTTGGATAATCTGGTGAAGACTTTCAAAAGTAGGTGTAGATTTTGGAAGGTAGATGAGTGGCCCTTTCTAAATGCCTGGTCCCTTATTTTCTTTTGTTGCGAGGAGTCCTTAGAGTCACAAATCACTTCCAAAAACTTGGCCTTGCACTCAAAGGACAATTACTTGTGCTGTAGCTGAACACATCTCACTTTTCAACAGTCCACTCCATATTGCAGGCCTGGATGATACTGGATAGCTCCTGGCATAAGACAGCCTTGTGGAAAGACTTTTAGCTCTGAAGTTGAATGTTCATGATGGTGTTTCTTTTCTGCTGCAGAAGCACAGGCTTGCCTTCTCCTCTTTCTCCAATACCCTCTCCTGCTGGTTCTGTGAGTTCTCAGCTGGGATCAAATGATAGCAACAGCACTGGCCACAATGGCATTGGCAACGGCGTTGGCTCTACAGTCACTGTCTCCTCTCATATCTCAAGCGTCACCTCTTCCTATGTCAACATCACTTCCTATATTCTCCATGCATATGAAATTTGGGAAAAGGCTGATACACTGGCCAGAAAGAATAAGGGTAAGTTTTTTTCCCTCTGTCCTGTCTCATGTGTTGTGGTTATGTGTACTTGCTTAAATCCTATCACTCAGTGCAGCAAGCACCTAAAGATCAAAGCATTAAATATGTTGAGTTAGACAGCCACAGCATATTGGCAGGTTATTGGCAGAGATACTTGATGGTGATATATTGGTGAGTGTTCCAATTAAAAGGTTGTTTTGGCATCCTCAAATGTCCAAGAGCTAAGGGATGAGGGTATCAAGTGCAGGAAACCAGCCAACTTGCTTCATGGTAACAGAAAAAGCATAACAAAAGTTGCCCTTCGGGCACTGAGCTTTTCTGAGTTGGTTCACTTTGTTTAAAAACATCTTTTTGGCCTATAGCCTTGTGTTTTAGTTTTTGGCAAACTTCCAGGTCGTTTTCTCTTGAAAATGGTTAGGCTGGCTTCTCTGCCTAGCAGAGAAGCTGAGCAGCACTTAAATTTGAGTCCTTGCTGGGCACGTGACCAGTATTTGCCAGTAGCAATTCCTAGAATTGCTGCTACTTTTTTTATCTCATGGGGGGTTTTTTGTTAAAAATGTTGTATTGTCCTGTGGTGCAAGCAGTGGTGAATATGTGAAAGCCACAGGGTGGGTGCAATTCAGCCTGTAACCTGCCATCCCATGTGGCCTTTGCAGTGTCATTTTTCATAAAACACAAAGTTTTGTGAGTCACTGTGGGTGAAGAGATGCATTGCCATGACCTGTTGGGAGACTTGCAAAAGAAAATAAGCAGTGCCTAGCTGAATTGTTGTAAGGCTGTAAAAACCCTCTAAAACACTAATGAGGCAGTTGCTGACATTCAAAAGGCATTGCAAGTCACCTTTAAATAAGGTAACCAGTTGTTGACTGTCCTCTGAGCAAATCTATGCTCACAGCAGCAGTTTATGTGTAGTATATTGGATTCTGTCATCAAAAGGCTGATAAAAGATTGTCACACAGAAGCAGCAGGGGATGCTGCTAGTAAGCCAGAGCAGTGAGTCACAGAGGAAAATGTGTGGGAGGGCAGCCTGAGCACAATGTTGCATTAATCAAGACTAAATTCAAAAGCTGCTCTGTGTGGCCAGTTCTGATGTAGGGGAATGTTGACTGGAGTAGTGAATACTCTCAAGGGAGTGGATCTGTCCAGGAGACCAGTAAATACTCATGTAGACTTGGTGGTTGTTGTCACTGTTCAGGAGGCATTTGAGAAGTGGAACTTGTTGATATTCAGTGTAATGTAGAGACATGAAGAGGTACAGAGAGTGAGAACATAAAACAAAAAAAAAGGCCGCATCCTTGCTTCTTTTATGCAATTCATAGGGCATAAGAGGAAGAAAGAGCAGTGGCCTTCTGCTACCAAGATCCTTTAAACAGGGAAATCCTAAGTTAGTGAAAAGCAGTTAGTTGTAACTGATGTCCGAGTCGCTTGTGCAGAGCTGAAGTGCTTTCTGGTGGGTCCACAACCAGGACCCAGCTCCTTGCTGTAATTCAGAGCAGCACCATGAATCATGAGGCTGTCACTGATTGTCTTCCGACCTCTAATCTCCACCTTCTGACCTCTAATCTCCATCAGCAAGGTCAGGCTGAGGCTGCAGACATGGATGGGAAGTCCCTCTCCTTTCACATGATACTGTGATCACAGATGAGGGTGTCTTCTGTTTGCTCAGAGAGGGGCTTTGGACTCCTTGTTTCTGCTTACAGCTCTTCTGTAAGATTTGGATTTAGTAAACAAAATTTTTTAAAACGTGGATTTAGTAAACAAAAGCTGAAAAATCAGGGGAGATGTTCTCTGCGTCTGAATTGGCAAGTATTAAAATGAAAGTGTTGTGCACTCTGCTTCTGAAGAGTTGCTTGCACAGCCAAGCAGCCTCAATCTTCCAAGCAGAGCTGGGAATGGCTGTTTTCTGAAAAGGTGCTTGGCAACACGATTGAGGCTGGAGAGACTGAGGGACTGGGACAAGCCATGTCATTGGAAGGCTGGTCATACAGGAATGTCTTGGAAGGGTGACTGCAAAAGAATAGGTGTGAGAATTTTCCATGACTTTTGGTCACCTGCACAGATGATCACCAGCACAGAGCAGGGCTTGCAGCTGGCCAGCACCTCACAGCAGGCTCAGATGTGCTGCAAGAACCTCCTCCTGCCTGTGCTAGAGGAGGAGCATGATGCCTGTAGTCGGTGATGGGATAGGAGGACTGTGGGATCTACCTGGCATGCTCAACTATAAGCAGTCCAAATCAGATGTATAGCCTGGCAAGCTACACAAATTGTTAAATCTGTTCAGTGGAGAAATCATGGTGTCTCTAAGGTTTGAGGATGAATGCAGAAAAGGGACCAGTCTGATGGCAGCTGTGTGTGTTTCTGGGTGTCACTCAGAAAGACACTCAAATTTGACCTGTTTAAGATTTGGGGAAAGCTCAAAGCAGGGACTGTGGTGCGAACACCCAAACTTTTGTCCACCTACCATGGAGTCTTGATGTCCTTTAAAGAAAGCACATGAGGAGGCGAGTCAGTGTGTGTATTTGTGTGCAAGTGTATTTTCCTCTTGTGTGCCCTTGTTACACTTCTCAGCCCTCTAACTGAGGTTAATGCTGAGCTGTCTGCATTAACACTGTTTAACTGGACTGGCCAACTGACTGTGTGCTGCTGCTGTTGCTCCTCACTGCCCTCCTCGCCTGTCAGACGTGCCTGTTGTATGAAACCAACCAAATGTTTTCTTTCTCCCTTCCTTTTTTCCAGAGTTTTTTGCTGAACTCAACAGAGCGACCTGTGCTCTGGCACTGACCAGTAGCCTGACTGACCTGGTACACTACATCAGACAGGGATTACAGTGGCTGAGACTGGAAGCAAATATGCCTTAACTGGTTCTCCAGGTGGTTAAATACCTTGAAGTTTTTTGCACTTTTGAAGCCTCGGAAACAGCCTCAGTTTAATTTTTTTTTATTATTATTCAATACAAGCACCTGCAAGGGAAAATATTTTAAATAAAGATGGAAGTTATCTGGTTACACTGGAAAACCTTTGAACTGTGTTATTTTAGGGTAGCACTTTGCTGCCTTGAAAAAGAAGAGATGGAGGATGGCACCTTCCTTTAAAATGATGAAGTGCAATGAATTGTCTGAATGGCCCAATGTATTGATGGTCTTTAAACATTTCTGTTACAAATAACCAGCAGGACGAGAGTTGCACATGATGCTGACAAGAAGGAAATCTGCCTCCAGAGGTGGTTATGCAACATCCCACAGCCTACAGCAGTTGTGTGCCCAGAAAACGTGCCGGAGAAGTTGTTTTTGCAAGCATGGATGCAATCTTTGGTGTCTTTGTTCCCCAGAGAGCAAGTAGCAACCTCATCAGCACTGGACAGCATTATGTTACAGTAAAAACAGCAGAAGGATCAGCTTTGCCCGCTTTCCAGCCTCACCCTCTTGCTTTTGTCAGCCAGCTGATGGAACTGGGGAACCCACTGCCTTCAGTGCTGCAAGTTTACTTTTTAAGTCATTGCTGCTTTGGTCCTCCTTGCCGTGTTCTTGTGCACATCCATGCCCATGGCACTCGAACTGTGTTACTACAGGTCTTGCTCGGTTTCAACCTTGTAAGCCAAACATAGCTGGGGTGGCAAAATGACATGGTGTGGTTGGAACAGCTCTGCCTCTCTTCTGAGGAGTGTCACAATGAGGATTCATTGTTGGGTTGCTTTTTGTCATTTTGGGGGGTGGGGGTGCAAAGCTGCACTGGGTCAGTGTGATTGCTTGGACATTGTTCTGAGTCTGAGAGCTTCCATGGGGAGGAATCGCTTCTGATTAAGGAGGGACTAAGGGACTGAATGTGGAACATAAGACAAATTTTGCATGTGGATATTTACCTGCAACCATTGGGGGTCTCGATGAATATCTAAGAGCCGGATTTGGTACCAAAGCGAGTCTCCTTCATGTGGGACAGAACTCACATGCTCTTTCTCAGCCACACTGTACGATGGGCCCAGTGACTTAGAAACCTGTCAAGGGAACACGAAAGGGAATAATTAGTGTTTGCAAGCATTTTTTCCTTGTCACAGTATCAGTGAAGGCAGCATCCATGGCATTTGCGTGTTAAGTCAGGTGACACCCTTCTCTATCCAAAGATTTCTTGTAGTGTGACAGCAGCATCCTGCCATCCTCATATATGAGTGTGCCTTAGCCCTCTGGTGCCCTCTCGCATCCCTCACCCTATCTCTGACAGACCCGTGGGAGTGGTGAAGAGAAAGTATCCTAAAATAATTGTGTTTACAAGAAAAAATTCTCCCTTTTCCACATAATTTCACGATGGACAAACATTTCTGCACACGTGCAGCAGTATGCCCTTTGTAAAATACCTGCTCATGTGTTTGAGGCTCATCAAAATGGGCAGTAAATAAATATCAGCAAAAGGTCTGCGTTTCCAAAAGTAGTTTCTGTAGAAATGGCCCGTGCCACAGGGAAGCCTGGAGTCATCCCAGCTCTGGGAGGGGGTGGCTGCGGCTCTGCCCGGGTCCTGAGCACAAGGGAGCTCTCTGGCAGCGCAGGACAGCTGGGATCATGGCTGGGTCTTTTCACACCCTGAAGGGACTGTCCTTTCATGTTCACTTTGTTAAAAGCCTTAGTACATTTCAGGGATGAGCTGTCCTAACAAATGGAAGGAAGGTCCGTGTCCCTCCTCCCATTTTACCTATCAAACTTCGTTTGCACTCCTCCTCCCTGGAGCAGCAACTGCTTGGAGTGAGCCAGGGACAGAGAGAGGCTCAGCATTAACCATTTTGTTCTCAGGAAGCATGGGGATGGGCAGACAGCCTGAAGGCTAATGTGCACTTTGGAGCTCGATCCTAGACTAGTGGATCGATGCTGCCTTCTGACTTTGTCTTTAGACAAAGCTATTTCTAGGATCACCAGCTGAGGAGGAGGAAAGAAGAAAAGAAAGCTTTATTGAACCTGAAAACCTGTGGGAGCCTGCAAGAACTGTAGGAGAGTGTTAAGGGTAAGCATAAGGTGTAGCAGGGACACGGGTCTTCTGGTACTTTCATTTTGTGTGCACCCATGTCCCTCCCTGCTTTCAGACCAGGTTCCCATTGGAGAGCCACTGGCTCACAGCTTTCCCCCAGCCAGGAGAACCACCTGCCAGGACCTGCTAGGCAGGCGTGTGGCTGCCCCTGTCCTGCATCCAGCTCAGCCTGTGGTGCTCCAGGTCCTGTCCTCACCTGTCCTGAGCTGCCCAGATAGGGATTATCTGTTGCCTTGCTCCTTGCAAAGCTCATGCGAGGGTGTCGGGCAAACAAAGCCAGTAAGAAGATGCCTAGAGAAGGTAGATGAATTCCTGATAATTGCTTCTTTACAGCTGGGAAAAGACAGCACGTGCTGCGCTGCTCTGCAGAAGCGGTTGGGCAAGGGCTGCTCCCATTCCTAGGGCAAACTCCCCTGGGCTTTGCGGGAAATGAGGTCATGGGCAGTTCGTGTCACGGGTTTGTGGGGGGCTGCTTGGGGGCTCTTACTTCAAAAGCAATCTGTGGAAGCATCAGTACCAAGCTCCATAGCAGGGAGCTATGTTTTGTTTCAGGACACAGAGAAGACTGTTTAAATAATAGGTAATTTTTAAAAAGCCATCATATTTCAACCTTGAGCCAGGTCAGAGGCCTGCAAAGGGTTAGGAAAGATAATCATCATTTTCATCTGGGCCTATTCAGGCCTTTACAGAAAACAAACAAAAGCCAAACAAGAATAAATAAAAACACAAACCAAAACATAAGAGTGGAGGAAATAGCATTTGCCATTAAGAAGCAAACCATTAATCCAAGGAAAACCAGAGGTGATGGTTGAGTTGCAGAAGGAAAGGAGGCAGCTATGGTGGCAAAGAAGCATCATTTCCATGCAATATTTATTTAAAAGAAATAATAATACATGTGTTGAAATTGTCAAATGTTCTATTTTTAAGATGCCATTTATTTAATAGTTGAAAACCCCACTTACATGGAGATAGAGATCTCTTGAAAGTCAAAGTCTGACTGCAATGTCCTTGTTTTTGGTTTTGTCCTCTCCCCTCCCTCTTGGTTCCCATGATAAATCTGTACATCTTATTTTGGGGATGTGTGTCCCACTTGTATATAACCTTTTTCTGCCCTGTGTGTGATGGAGTTTCCAAGATGGTTGATGGTTGATTCATTCATATGGGGAAACAAACAATAAATGAATGTTTGTTATGAGGTGTTGCAAGACTCCTTGTGTTCTTCTTAGCTTCTTGTAGAGAAATTTGTTTCTGAATGGCCTTAGTGTTTCCCTTCTGAATGAGGTTTAGGTATGAATCTCTGTTTCCAGTGCTGCCCTGTTTATTGCCCCTTGCCCTTTCCTTAATGACCAAAAATGGGTGCTCAGAGTAGCAGGAGGGTCACAACTTAGGACATCTGCCTCCTATCCTCCCAAAACTGATTCAGGGATGACTTTGCTGGGATGAGCTGCTGACAGCCAGCAGAGCCTGGCTCTGAGCACTCCCTGGCAGGAAGATCCCATAAGTTGGTTTCAGACAATCAAACAAGTTAAATAAGAAAACCAGGAGACAAGGCACAAAAGTGGTGCCTGAAGCGTTCTGCTCTGTGTTTGCCACAAAGGTGTTGCAGGGCTTGGTGCTGGGAGAAGGGTCTGCTCAGGTCTTATTCATGGATTAGTTTCTGAAGTGCTGTGAGGAGGATTTCCCTCAAGGAACCCCACAGCATTTCATGCCCTGTGGTGCGCTGCGTCTCATTGGGTGTACAAGGGGATCTCTTTGCCATGGCCTTACACTTCTTGTTTGAGGCTTTTTCCGCTTTTTTTTGGTGTTGGGCAATGTAACTGTTCCCTGGAAGAATCATTTTTTCATCTCTCTGCACTATTGGGATATAATTTGTGTGTGTAATTCAGGTCCCTTCTGCAACAGGCATTGGACCCAAGATGTTTATGGATGTGGGTTTCCAATGTACTGTGTAAATTGTAGAGGATACTGAAACCAGTTTTAATATCCACTAGATTTTTTTGTTGTTACATATGCTGTGTCTAGAAACGCACTCTTTTATTAAGGTTGGTGAAGTTTTTCACTCCATGCTTAAAATCCTGATAGCAAAACTGGATTGAAGTAGGAGTAAAAAGAAAATGTATCTAGTTAGTAAAATAAATGAAGTGTGAAATGTCCCTAGATGAGCATTGGGTGGGATTTTTAGCTACAAACCAGATAGGAGGAGCTTGGTGATGCTTTTGCTCAGGCGAGGTGGGTCTGCAACTCAGTTCACTGCCTTCAATTAGTTTCAAATGGCCTGAAACCAGGTGGGCCCCAGACTGGTTGCAAGATGGCTGGGAAGAGAGCTCGTGGTTGTGGCCATCGTTATGTGGATTAAATGTCTGTGCATTCTGTTCTGCTTTTAGTGGCTTGAAAGGGGTGTTTGGACATGAGCTGTCCTGTCTGCTGACTGGGGGCAGCTGCTTTTCCTCAGTCACTCACATCCTCTGTCTCAGCATTTCTTTCCTCCTCACACCCCAAAAGGTGTGTTTCCCACGCTCCTTGCTCGTGGCAAAGGCAAGGAGGGTTAGTTTTGGGGGTGGGATGGGGATGAGGAACGGTGGGAGGGATGCAGAGGAAGGATGTGCAATGTGCCAGCAGGGAGGTCATCCAAAAGCCAGGCAGGGAGAGGGGGAGTGGGGCTTCAGCAAGTGTCGACAGCTCTGCTTGGCTTTCTGCCCAGGGCAGTGGGCCCCTCCCCCCAGGCTAACACAGCCAAAAATAGTTTGGGGTTGTTTTCCAATAATATTTTGTTGTTTGTTTATTTAGTGAGCCTTTAGTGACCAAACCTGATTTTGAAGTGTGTTTAATTTATTTTGAGATTTGTTATTGATTGTAGATGAGCTTGCATTCTCTCTTTGGCTTGGCTTACCCTTTCCAAAGACAAATGTAATTTTTGGCAAAACGGCTGAATCAAAGTTGATTGCAGTTTCTCAGCCCTGTGCTGCTCTCCAAACACTAAAATAGCCCCTTGGCAGCCTGTGCTTTCTTTTAATTGCACTTTCTGTAACCTCTGTCACTACTCTAAAACAACACCATCATCAGCATTTCTGAATGTGTTTCCGTGAAGTTTGTGTCCCTGAAACAAGGACTTGTGCATCTTACAACAGCAGTGTTATGCTCACTGCTGCCTTGTGATGTGTTTTGTCAAGGTATGGAGTTCCTGGAGTTCCCGCTGGGTTTTTCTCTGCTCCTACTCAGTATTGTTGAGGTTTTCTTTGGGTCCAGCCCTTCCCAAATCTTCGTTCGTGAAGCCTAGCCATGATGATGATTATGGCCATGTTGTGCACTGCCAAAGGCATTTGCAAAACTTCTAGGTTGTTTAGTGAAGTCTTAATTCTGCTGGCCGCTCACATTTCAACAAATGCTTGTAAATGGAAAAAAACAGTTCAGGTTTTTTTTTTTTCAGATTCCAAGTAATAAAATGTGTCTGTTTTTCACTTGTTTCATGTGGGTTTTTCCCCCAGATACCTGCTGTACCTTTCACTTGGAAACTATAGGTATGGTAAATTCAAGTCTTTATTCAATTTTAGTTTGAAAAACTCAGAAAACTTTAAATTAAACTGTTGGTTTAATGATTATAAAGGAGCCATTACTTAGACAATATAGTGCCTTGGTAGTAGTTGCAATCTGTTGGACTGGAGAGAGGTTGTGGGCAAAAAGTAGTTGTGCTCCAGATCAGTACATGAAGTACAGTGTGTGATGATCAGAACTGGAGGTGCATTATAGGGATACACATCTTGAAGTCATTGCACAAAATCTTTGTTAACCCTTTGAATGCATTCAGTGCTAATTGGAATAGTAAGCTAAGTGCAGGTAATAGGTTAGAGTAAATAGTCTGGCTCAGTTTATTTTGGGACACTAAACATGCTTCTTGACACCCGGTGGGTTTTCTATCGTGATTGTTAAACAAGAGGCAAACAATTCATTGTATTTTTGTAGCTAGTGGAGAAGAATCGCTCCAAACCGAGGCTTTACTTCCCCCTGCTGTTACTTTGTGTAAGGGCAAGACTTGCCCTGGAAAAAAGAAAATCCCACACTGCAATTTGGTAGCTAGAACTAACGTGGTGCAGTGCAGATGTTTTACTGGTGCATCAGCTGCATGTTGTTCCTATTCAGTGATTCCTTGGGACTGTGTGAACAGGAAAGGTCACAAGTGTGCAGTGACTGATGATAACTGGAAAATGGCAGACTTGTTTGCAAGAACATTGGTAAAGAAATAAATGTGGATTTTTTTCTTTAATTCTCCTTGTAACTCCAGCATTAAACATGAGAACATGGGACACAGAAGATTATCTCCTTTAAAACAAAAATGTACATTTAAAGTCGAGGGAGTAGAAAATTTTATAATAAAGCTGAGAAAGTGTGAAGTGAAATTAAACCTCTGATTTATTTCCAGTGACTGTAGACATTCAGGCTGGGAAACAGGGTTAAGTGAAAAGAGGTAGGGCAATAACTACTGTGTCTCTGATCAGGGCTATCCTAAAGAGGAATTTCATAGGGGATTCCTTCTTTTCACAGAAAAATTTCTGACATAGAGTTACAGTGTAGCAATCAAATGTGAAAAAGGATTGTGCAGCTGACAATCTCAGAGCAACTGAGCTGCAGGCATGGACTCCCACGAAAAAATCATCTGGTAATTATTTTTCAGTGGAGAGGTGGGCAAATCATCTCCTTGATTTGTACAGTAAATTCGGAATTCTTGGAATTGGTGATGTGTTCCTTATCAGTGATGTCTTGATTTTAATTTTTTTTTAGATTAATTGCGACTATTTGACTGAGATGACTTAATACCACATTCACCATCTGATGAGATTACTCAGTGTGCAGAAGCCTTTTCTCACATGAAGTCTTTCAAGAATCAACTGTACTTGAAGGAAACATGAAGAATCTGTGAATCATAGAGATTAGTTGGGCTGCTGTTGTGTTTCGCTGGCTATAGAATTCCAGTGCCATTTTGCTTTTCTTATCCCATTAACCAGCAATTCACATGTGAAATTCTTGTTGCGGAGGCCCTGGTCCAGGAGTTTGCCTGTCTAGAGTGGTAAAATGCCTCCTTGCATTTCCATCAGTATTTGGGCCCCATAAAATATGACAGAAGTCACATCATTTGATCTCTTGCCACTTGTTTTCCTTGAATGCCTCTGATCCCACAGCCTTTGGGCAAAGCAGCTGCATGTCTGGCACTGGTAGCTGAGGGTTCCCTCAGTGGCCCCATGTCAGCTGCTGGGTAGGGGCTGGGGATCTCGGTGGCACAGGTCCGTGCTGTGCCCCCGCCTTGGGGACATGCTGTGTCCTGATGTCGGGAAGTGCCAGTTCCCCCTCTCCAGCAGGGTCTGTGAGCTGGGGCAGCCACTGCCATATGGCTCTTGCCCTCTGATCCTCCCATGACACCTGGGCACATGCTAAAAGCAGAGCCCATCCTTTGGTAAGATTGTGAGGTGCAGGGCAGCTCAAATCACATTGGCACTGTCATAGTGAGAGGCATTCCTTGTCTGGAAGGCCTGTTTGTGCAAGGTCTGAAAGCAGCGGTAACGGGCAGGCACTGATATCTGCTGTCCCTTCCATCACTGTAGGTCGACAGGAACAGCTTTAAATACCGATTCTTACCACTGCCTCTGCAAGCTGAGAACTGTTTTCTCTTAAAGAAATCATCTCACATGGGAAATTGCAGGTAAGGCTGGAGCTGCTCTGAGAGACCAGGCTGGAGAGAGCTGTGTCTATGCAGGGGAGCAAAGCAAGAGCTGCTGGGACAGGGAGCTCAGCCTGGATGGTGTTACTCAAGTGAGGGACACCACTGTTCTCACCAGGACATGGGTATTAGTCAGTCTTACAGCTGAGCTCTTGCAGCCACTGACTCCAGAGGAAGATGGTAAAACCTGTGTGGAAAAACCCAAATTGCAGAACTGAAGCCAAAGCTATTTATTTGGGGTTTTTTTCAGTTTTAATAATTCAAAGCTGCCTGTGACTGTACATTGATATGTCCTTTCAAATAATTTATTGGATGCAAAGACATCAAGTTTTTCCCGCCGTAATGTCATTTCTGTATTAGTAATAGCAGCATTGAAGGGAAGGGAAGCTCTTGAGGTGGGTACCTAAGGTTTAGCTTTCCAAGCAGCTTCCATGTGCCATTAGAGCAGCTGTTTGCCTGTGGCTTGATGGAGAAAGGCAAAAAGAAGAGGAATCAAT